TTCTTCGTGCTGGCCAGCTTGGAGAGCAGATCATTTTTATTCTTATTTATTATTTACAAAGAAGGCGTGCTATCTATATGAAACGTCAAATAGGATGCAAAGACACTTGAGAAATTCAATGAATATCATTCCTATTGATTTTTTGTTTAGAGAACATCTGTGCGTGTTAACCAGATAATGGAAATTACTGTAATCAAATGCAAACCGACACATCTAATTGGGGAACACTTATCAGTAATTAGAGGCATCACACGCCCAAATCGATGATTCAAACACCGAGACTTTCCCATGCGAAAATGACAATTGCCGGGATAGGAGGAATGATCAAGAATGGACGAATCCTTGCTTCTAGGGAATTACAAGACAAAACCCAATTAAAGAATAAAGGTATTGCATGACAAAAACCCGCTAGGATGAAAACCCGTAAAGAGCGTTCTAGGCAAAAATTAGGGTGAAGAAAAAAGAATCAAAATCCCGAAAGGATACGTCCTATGCAAAAGTTAAGGACATATAAAAATAAGAAATGTCTATCTGAATTGGAATCGAAAGGTGGCTCGAGCGAAAGCAAGAATTCATAAAGGTTTCACTCCAAATTCAAAACACCGACGTTCAAGCAAGTGGAACGGTTTTTTTGAAATTATAAAATCATCCATGACTCTCTAGGGGGCAACCTCGGTTAATCTCTCTGTGTACGAATCACGAACTCGGGGCATGCCCGGGCCTCTGAGCTTTGCTAAAGGGGCACGTGTAAATTGGAAGTACTATTTTAAATGCCATAACATTCTTTCATTTCACTTTTCCCTTTAAATATTCACTCTAGGCCTCATCCATTAACCCTTAATAAACAAGATGTATTTACGACAAAGATGTTACTCAATAATAGCATGGAAATGATAACAAAGGAACAATCAAGAATCCAAACATGACTGAGTTTAATAAAAATAGGGCGTCCCATACAAACGTTGCAAAAATGAAAGCCTGGTAGAAACCCACTAAGGGGGGCAACGCAAAATTAGGGCAAGATCCGCTAGGGGCTCACAATCGAAAAGGGAAACCTAGGCAAAAGTAAGGATCAAAAGAAAAATGTTTGCTAGGAAACACATCTAAAGTAACTTAGGCAAAAGTTAGGACGTTAAAGCAGCGACCTGAGTTGAAAAATGAAAGGCGGCTCAGGAGGGATCGTTCAATCAGAGCACAAGCCCAAGTCATCACTCCACTTTCCAAAAAGATTAAAACACAATGATATGGGCTTTGGTGTTTAGGGTTATTAAACAAAATGTATTTACTACAAGGAAGTTATCATTGTGTTTTAATCTTTTTGGAAAGTGGAGTGATGACTTGGGCTTGTGCTCTGATTGAACGATCCCTCCTGAGCCGCCTTTCATTTTTCAACTCAGGTCGCTGCTTTAACGTCCTAACTTTTGCCTAAGTTACTTTAGATGTGTTTCCTAGCAAACATTTTTCTTTTGATCCTTACTTTTGCCTAGGTTTCCCTTTTCGATTGTGAGCCCCTAGCGGATCTTGCCCTAATTTTGCGTTGCCCCCCTTAGTGGGTTTCTACCAGGCTTTCATTTTTGCAACGTTTGTATGGGACGCCCTATTTTTATTAAACTCAGTCATGTTTGGATTCTTGATTGTTCCTTTGTTATCATTTCCATGCTATTATTGAGTAACATCTTTGTCGTAAATACATCTTGTTTATTAAGGGTTAATGGATGAGGCCTAGAGTGAATATTTAAAGGGAAAAGTGAAATGAAAGAATGTTATGGCATTTAAAATAGTACTTCCAATTTACACGTGCCCCTTTAGCAAAGCTCAGAGGCCCGGGCATGCCCCGAGTTCGTGATTCGTACACAGAGAGATTAACCGAGGTTGCCCCCTAGAGAGTCATGGATGATTTTATAATTTCAAAAAAACCGTTCCACTTGCTTGAACGTCGGTGTTTTGAATTTGGAGTGAAACCTTTATGAATTCTTGCTTTCGCTCGAGCCACCTTTCGATTCCAATTCAGATAGACATTTCTTATTTTTATATGTCCTTAACTTTTGCATAGGACGTATCCTTTCGGGATTTTGATTCTTTTTTCTTCACCCTAATTTTTGCCTAGAACGCTCTTTACGGGTTTTCATCCTAGCGGGTTTTTGTCATGCAATACCTTTATTCTTTAATTGGGTTTTGTCTTGTAATTCCCTAGAAGCAAGGATTCGTCCATTCTTGATCATTCCTCCTATCCCGGCAATTGTCATTTTCGCATGGGAAAGTCTCGGTGTTTGAATCATCGATTTGGGCGTGTGATGCCTCTAATTACTGATAAGTGTTCCCCAATTTGATGTGTCGGTTTGCATTTGATTACAGTAATTTCCATTATCTGGTTAACACGCACAGATTAGGTTTCTTTTTTTATTCTTATTTATTATTTACAAAGAAGGCGTGCTATCTATATGAAACGTCAAATAGGATGCAAAGACACTTGAGAAATTCAATGAATATCATTCCTATTGATTTTTTGTTTAGAGAACATTCTTTACATACTATTATATGTGCCTTCCGTCTCTAATGGATGCATGCTAATGTACTATCCTAGGAGATGCATGATATTTATTTTCTATCTAAATTTTATCATGTTTTTTTTATTTTACTATAGGTTATGATGCATGATTTTTTCTATATATATATATATATATATATTGAAACAAACTATCCTATATGATGCTTTAGAGCTAGGGTATACAGAAGAGTGTTAGTGTTTTTTTTATTGATATCTGTTTATTTGTCTATAATTCCTCTCTATTTGAAATGAACAAAAAGAGAACACAACAAATGCAACACACATATGCTCAAACAAATGTACACCTACGGACAGTCACGTTTAAATCCTTGGTCTGTGGTCCCTGTAAGAAACGTGCATTATATAGGACAGTTCTAATCTCACTGGTTTTAATGCCCCAAGGTGCCCCCATTCACCTCCGACATTGTTTGGCAATTCGCCCTTTCGAGTGCAGTGTCGAAGGCTCCGGACCTTAAACCTTTCTGAAACGCGATGACTGCCATTCTCTCATCCACCGATGCTATCCTTAGAGCAACCTCATTGAATCTCTGCAGAAAATCCTTCAATGACTCCTCCCGTTGCTGCTTAAGATCAAATAAATCCGACGTGATCGGTGGCTTCTTCTTATTAGCAGCAAATTGAGCCATAAACAGCCGACTGAAGACGTCAAAGTCGGTGATGGATCGATCGGGGAGGCCACTAAACCAATCAAGCGCCGCCTTCTTGAGTGTGCCCATGAACAACTTGCAGCGGACTTCCATGCTTCCTCCACAGATCAACATTTGAGCCCGGAAGTCCGTCAAATGTTGACTGGGGTCCTGCGTTCCATCAAAGGGTTCGACCTGTGGTATCCGATGATCCCTAGGGATCATCTCGGCCTCTATGGCTTCCGAGAATGGTCGAAAGTCTCTAGGGACCTCCAGCATGATGTCCTCCTCCACAGTCCTGGTACTAGCTGCTATTCTGGCCTGCATCTCATCCGCTCGTCTCCTGATCTCCTCGTTTTCTCGTTGAATGACCTCCTCTCTCTCCCTGGATCGCGCATTCTCCTCCCTTAAGCCATTGATCATGGCCATCATCTCCTCCATGGTTGGTGGTTGCGAGTTGTTGTTGTTGTCGCCGCCTCTCGCCATGGTAAAGTGTAGGTTTTTTGTGTTTCTTGGGGCGTAGAAAGAGTTTCACCGTAGCCCCACGGTGGGCGCCAAAATGTTCCGGCCAAAAGATGGACTAGGGTTTTTTCCTAGATCGTGCCTCAGAGCCAGAGCATTCAAAAGTGTAATCTGCCTTCTCAACTCTAGGGTTTTGGGTTTTATGGTACGTCGTTCACGGGCCTCTTGGGCCCCGAGAATGAAGGGATTTCCCTAACCGTTCTTATCTTGATGGTGCGGGGTTAAAGGGGATAAGTCTAGTCAAGTTCTGACCGACTGGGTACGCGCCGAGGACCCAGTCGGGTTAATTCCGAGTAGTCTCCTTAGTCCTTATAGGCGAGAGGAGTCGAGTTCCCCAGACCTAGTCGAGTCATGACCGACTAGGTCTGTGCTGGGCTCTCGATCGGGTTAGTGCCGAGTAGGCATGGTCGCCCTACTGCCGAATAGAGGTGCAGGTCGGATTTCGACCTGGACGGCACACTTGCCTTCCAGCCCTGAGCCGAGAAGGCGAGAGGGCTTGTGGCCTGATACACTAGTCGGGATATACCCGAGAAGAAAGCCTAATCGAATTTTGACCTGGACAGTACACAATCCATATTTTTCTTTTTCAAATTCTTTTATTTTCTTACAAAAATTGTCCAAAAGAATCCATAATTTGAGATGCTAGAATTTTGATCATATGTGACTTGCGTCAGTTACCCTTATGACCATCTTGTGATCAATACAATACAATTAAATAATTTTAAAATCTAGCTCCTACTCCTCTCACGGATAGGCATAAGAAAATGTGTTCTGCCACTACACATGGTGCCACATAATGTCATGTGAAACTGCAAAATATCTCTAATGTTTCACAAATTTATTATCATTAATTATCATCTATTCTGCTCATAACGTGGTAGAATCCCATCCGGTCGTACTGATTCAAATTTGCTTGTAACAATCATATACGAGGACTGCATCTAGGAAACATATGTTACAGCTTCATTGAAGGAACCTAAATTCTAAAGGCAACTTAATTTTACTGAGAGAAAAAGAATATCTGTATTCTACTTTGCAGGTGCTTTTAAAAGACATGAACTCAATGCTAAAAAGTGTATAACAACTTCCGTACTTTACTCAATTACTTTAATCAACTAATTGAGTTAATCCCTTAATACTAAAATTCTTTTTGAACGAACTTCTTCATAATAGAAAATTTAGTTTCCTATGCTTGTCACACTTTGTTATACAGCTTACCTCTGATGGTTATAGTGGCTAGAAAGCAATTAAAAAAATGGCACAAAAGATATTACTTTTTAATATTTTTGCACACAACTTATTCTTAATTTATACAAATCCAATCATGTAATAAATCACACCAGTACTTGTAAATGAGAAGACCATGTTGGACAAAAAAAAATAAAAAAGAATGAATCACAGTGGTATAAAAAGAAGAGAAAAGGGGGAAAAAGAAAAAGAAGATAATCACAGCATAACATCACTCAACTCTCAAGTTCATCTCCTATAAGCAGCAGCACCATGGATAGCAACTATGTAGAAAAGCTGTGTAGCTGAAAGGATAATCAGAAAAGCCTCCATTGTTTTCTGCAAAAATTCAACATTCCAAATTGTAAAGTGACTTTATGGCAGATGAAAATCTATAAAGTATTAACTACCTCAAACATAAGAAATGACAGCAAATAAAATTTTCATATCTTACCAGGCGAGCATTTCTGATGTTAAGCTGAATCTCTTTGCAGGCAAAGCTGCATAAATTATATATTAGTCATATCAGTAACTTTGATATAGCAAACGTTGTTTTATCAATGCAAACAAAGCAACTTTTTTATTTTTATTTTTTTTTATGGTTGGTGTCACTCAAAAATGTCATATCCTAATATAAAAAAAAAATAGTCTTTAAACTATCCTCTATTAATATATTTTTTGTTTCTTAGAAATTTTTTTGTTAGTATATCCATCATGAATCTGTAGCTTGTACTAATGGTACAATACTTCATGATATATATCAATTTATTATAGACTCATACTATTGATACTAATAGATAAAGCTTAGGCTTTGTTAGATAATATTTATATCAAGAGAAAATAGACCATGTATTAATAGTGTAAAATTGTCATCCAATCACAAACTAACGTGATAAGTTTGTTAACTATTACAGTAAATATTTTAGAAGATATACCAACCATGATTTCTTGACAATGTAAATTTTTTTACAATAATAATATATGATCATTAAACTCTTATATTAAGTGTGACGAGGTGAATGATTAATATTTTTTGTTTCTTAAGATATGGCCTTTTTTCTTAGTGCAAGGATTTGGAGGAAGATATTACCCCATAGCAAGAACAGTAAGAGCCCACGCAATGGAAGCAACTGAAGCTGCAGAGGGCAAGCTTTCTGAAGTCCATGAACGGACATGATTGAATCCTGAAATTATTGATCCAACACCAACAACTCCAGCAATCAAAGCAAATGTCACAAAGAATCCAGTGGCAGCATTTCCCATAGGGAAGTATATGGGTGAAAAATGAGCTGGAAGATCATATCCTGCACCTGCATAGTTCCTCACACAACATAATTACACTGAAGAACTATTGAAAAAATGTTCTTTTAATTCACACATTTTTACAAAACATGTTAGGTTACTTTATTTATTGTTTTCAAAGAATTGTACAAGGCAAATCCTTTGTAATGCTAGGAATTATGATTTTTGATATTTATGATTAATGATTCCTGAACATATAAAAATTTTCCTTCTGTCAAATATCTTCTAAGAGTTTAATTTATATGTACAGTCATTATATAAATTATTTTGTGAAAAAAAAATGTCAAATGTGACTTTTAAAGTGGTTATTATAGAAGTTTATAAACTTACTATATATATATATATATATATATATATATATATATATATATAT